TAACTGAGCAGCTGCCAGTATGAGTCACAGTTGACCCAGGCGTGTCATTATTTAAGTCATTCCAGTCATAAATTGATCGGCTGTACAGGAGCACGTGAGATGACGTGCGCAAAAATAAGTGTACGAGCAGGATATGCTAAGTATCCTGTTGTGCTAATGCATTGACTCAGACAAGCTGATTAAAGGACTCAAATTACATCTGTGTTAACATTTTTCAATATATTGATTGTACATCTTGGGAGGTAAAGTGATCATACCTGGTATGTGTGTCAACACCGATTGTACTGTACGACAGAATAAGACTCAAAGACATAAACTTAAAGACATGATTACAACATTGACCTTTGTTGAATGATGTTTGACGTTTTAGCGAATGAACAGAATCTGACTGTGTCTAACTCCCGCCGCCCTAGTCGTTCATAAGAAAATATTTGCGCCCTTACCCAAAAATGAAAAAACAACTTGTTTATTTCACACATTTTAAATATAATATATTTTTATGCACTTTAAACGCGTCCATTTTATGCTAGCATGGCCAACTTTGGTCAGTCCGCAGGAGTGGGAATTTGCCAGTGTCTTGTTTGCAACAACATTTACAACATCGAACAATATGCCGCGTTACGTTTCATTCATTCAATTTGCACACCCTTGTAATTGCACTGCGGCGTTACGTTTCATTCATTCATTCATTCAATTTGCACACCCCTGCAATTGCACTGCGGCCCCCCCTGAGGGACACGCCCCCCCACTTTGTGACAAACACAGCAGCATACCTTTAACTAGAAATGTCATAGAAAATAAATAAAAGTTGTAATCATTAATCACAAACTGATTTGAATATTTACTGTGATTTTGTGAACATTTTTCGATATGATTTTTGGCCAAATATTTACGTACACAATCAGCCTATAATAACCTACATTCAAATGTATTTGTAAACTTTGTTTTGCCCGTGTTTTGTTCATTTGAGTGAAAATAAAATAAATTATATAATATATTGAAACATCAAAAAGAAAAATATGCAGGATATTATTTCAGCTCACTTTCAGCTGTGACTTGACAAAACCATGATCTCTAAAATCACTAATTGGCAATGTCAGTGAGTCATTTACACTGGTGTTGTTTAATACTCACAGCACCATCTAGAGGTTACCACAAACTGCACAGACTATTTGTGGTCGATTGAGTATTTTTTGTCGAACTTTGGGCACACAGAATAGTTCAACTGTGCCCATGAATGTATTCATGCGGTTTCCAAAACCTTAGCATTTAAATCGAATCAGAATTGAATAAGATTAAACTGCATTTTTGCTCCTTAAAAGATAGATATACTTTATTGATCCCAGGCTTGAAAAATTACGGTTGTTTTTTTTTTCATTGATAGATATAAATAATTTTATCAATAATATATAATATATGTTTCTTCTGGCAATTTTCTTTATTAATATTCACTTATGTCCAAAAAATATAGTCTATATAGCTGCTAAAGACTAGCATTGTTCAGTAGAAAAACAGGGGGTTTTTCAACACACACATCGAAACGTTACTAGCCACCATCGATGTTTCTAATGTCACCCTGCATCCCATCAGTTTTTCGACTATCCCCATTTGATGTCACCCTCCACCGGGGGGGGATTTTCTCCGTTTTCTTCCCATCAGAACAGACCCACCCAAATGCTTGCTACCACAACTCCACCTCCACGGCCACTTTCACCCTCGGAGCCATCCTCCGTCATCGTCTTCCCCCCTCCACCTCCTCTCGAACAGAACCTCCCCTTATCTGTGTGAACGCTCGTTCTTGGCTCGATGTAAACAGAGTGTCGCCGCGGACAGTGACGTAAAGGTAGGGAGAGTGCTATAGTAACACGGCTGGAACATGGACTGCGCACTGCTGCTTCAATAGAGACAAAAGAAGAAGAAGAAGAAGAAGCATAGACGGGACAAACGCAGAAAAATAAGGAGGTTGACAAACCGGGGAAGATAGAGGAGAAGGGCAGAAACAAAAAAAGAAAAGAGAAAAAAAAAACACCCACAAGGAATCTCCCTGCTCAATGCGAAAAGCATCTCGTCACCCCCCGCTAACGAGTTCTATGGCCAACTCTGGCTGCCTGCTGCTCTCCGGCTCCAGGATGCTCCCGCACTCGCTACAATGTCCACCTGCCTTCCTTTACCTGCAAGAGGTAAGACGAAGTCCACGCTTATCGTCACTTATCGTGTGTCGCGCTTTCTCTGTTTCTCTTTGCGGCTGTACGTCCAACGCCACGGGATCACGACGCAGTGGCGCGATTTGCGTTTTGTTTTGTTCGTGCGTTGTCCCTTTTAACCTCCGACCCACACGCAGCCTGAGGTCAGAGGACATAAGCGGAGACACGCATATTGCATATGCGGATCAAACTCGAGGCCCGCAGTCCAAACGTGGACCGCTAAGTCGTTTTGTGTGGCCCGAAGGAGCTTAAGAAGTGTTTGGTCCCTGCTGTGGCCCGAAGGAGCTTAAGAAGTGTTTCGCTGCCTTTTTTAACTTGATGTTTTTTTATTTTTTTATTTACACAGAGCAATTTACAATATTTGTAACTTGAATAAATAACACAGTCGTACAGTCTTACACTTACAACCGTCCCTTCACAGGTAACTGTGTTGCTGATGTCGCCCCCTGGTGAAAACGGGTTTGACACCCTACCCCAGTTTGACTTACGTTTTAGTTGCAATATAACCATTATGATTAAAAAAATATATTGTAATTTTTTTTTTAAATTACACTTGATTTTATCATTCTCTGGACTCAATACACTCAATTTTATCACTGATCTTGACTTGTTTATGAACCCCAAAACTGTTTTTTTGTTTTTGTTAAGAATTGGGTTAAAAAGATTCACACAAAAAAAAAAAGAAAAAAAGAAAAAAACAAGTTTACTCCTCGGAATTGGGTTAAAAAGATTCACACAAAAGAAAAAAACAAGTTTACTCCTCAGGGAGTCTGTCTCACTGCTAAATTATTCACGTTTGTTAATTCAGGCTTCCATGCTGCCGTACTGCTGAGTTAATTTTGTGTAAGCTTGTGCGTGTGACACAAATGGGATGAGGAGTGTGGGTGAGCGCTAGCAGCATGCGTTGCAGTAAACAATGTCTGTTTTGTAGGCTGTGTTCGTGGAAGCTCATGCCCGTGCCTGATATACAAGGGAAATAATGGTTTCGTTACTTGTTTTCCAATGTTGCCTATGCAGACATGGTCAGTCGAACTGTCTGTAGTTGCCGAAAAAACCACGTTTCACCAAAGGCCGCGAATACTTCTGATGCCAGTCTAACAGATTAAGATAAAAAAACAAATCTACTAAGGATCTCTTATGTAAGGCTTACATCCGTAAGATAAAAGGTCATTTGTACCATGTCTGTGTTAGCGTGTCTGTCTGTGTGTGTTTTTTAGAGTCATCTTCTACTTTAATTCGGTTAATATTTGGCTGGGGCCCTGGCATGTGAATGAATGAATACTGGTGTCAAAAATGTTTGTTTTTCTTCTGCACAAAGAGAGACTCCCCAATGTGTGAACAACGGACCAATTAGGTAACAGAAAAAAAATAGTGGGTTACTTTGGCTTTTTCTACTGCCTGCTGCTGCTGCTGCTGCTGCTTCTAATGATGTTGCTGAGGCTTAAGGAGAAACGCACCTAAGATGACTGTCAGAATTGAGTGTTTTGTGCCGACAGTCGGCTTGTTGTAGAGGATAATGCCACCTCCCCAGTTCCGGCAGTTTGTCGCATTGGCAAAGGAAAGAATCAAGCAAAATTTCAATGCTTTAACATGGGATAAAAAACAGGGAAGCTACAGCCTTAGCAGCGGGAGCCTGCGGCACGCCGTAGGAGAGAAGAAAGCGTCGGACTGCTGTCAGTTTTATCCAGCCGTCCCTAGTTAATAGACAGAAGTTAGCAAACAAAACAAATAAGCCGAAGTAATGAGACTACTTCAGAAAAATGCAGAAGACAAAGTAATATGTAGGTAAAAATATTGTAGTTAATTGTCAACAAAGGGTGACGCAAATAAATAAATGAACACCAAGTGCAGGGCAATAAGCTTAGCCAGAAGTACCTAACAAAATGATGGTAAGCATGGGTAGGTTAAAAAACCTTTAAAACAGTTAGCAGAAACGTACAGATGTTTTGGACAACATGAAAACAACAACATTTTAGCCAAACTTGAAGCAAAAGGGCTAACCCTTTGTACGATGTTAAGCAAAAGAAATAATCGCAAATGAACCACCAATAAAAAGTAACCTACAGTTAGCACACCCATCTTAAAGATAAAAATAGAAGAACAACAACAACAAAAATGAAGTACATTAGTGTTTCCGCTTAAGGGATCTTCCTTGGGCTTCTTAGGCCATTCTGTAGCACAGCAGCGTGATGGTTATTACGAAGGAGACATTTTTTTTTTTTCGACCTTGTCAGCAGGGCCCTGGTCTAAAGTCTTCTTTAAGCAGTATTCATTGATCGTGGGTAATGGTCTCATAGCTTTTTTTTTCCCTTGATCGTGGGTAATGGTCTCATAGCTTCTTTTTTTTTCTTCTTTTCGTTTACTTACAAACAAGTACAAAGGTGAGGGATGAAGAGACCAAGTGGGTTGGACTGAAAATGCTTGTGATACACCTGCTGTAAACGGGGACACTATCACCTTAGCAACGCCAGCCCACAGCATAGTTGACGAGGGGTATCTGATCAACATTGGTAATCTGCAAATACTCCTAGTTGCAGTACAGGTATCAGACATGAAAAAGTTGTAGTGAATGTTGTATTTACTGGCACTAAATATAATAACTGGGTCCAGGTTGGCAGATTAATGGTCTATTTGATATCAACTGCTTCTTCCTTGAGCGTAATTGTTGGTGGTCAAGCTGGAATTTCTACCAAACGCTCCACTGACATCTGATTAGATCCATCCATCCATCCATTTTCATCCGCTTATCCGTTAACGGGTCACGGGGGCAGCAGTCACCACCCCGATCACATTGCACCGTACCAACCCCCCTGAACCTTCCTGCGGGTGGTGAGTCCACGGGAAGGTACCAACCGCCCTAACCGGGATTCGAACTTGCCCAGGAGGTGAACCCTGGGGTTCCACACCAATGACAGAGACATTGTCTCTGGGCCAAAGCGCCACACCCACTAAATTTATCCATCCATTTATCCATTCCTCCATTTTCATCCGCTTATCCGTTACCGGGTCATGGTCATCACCCAAATTACCGGGTCGCAGTCATTACCGGGTCGCAGTCATCACCCAAATCTCATTGCACCGTACCAACCCCCCCTGAACCTTCCTGCAGGTGGTGAGTCCACTGGAAGGTACCAACCACCCTAACCGGGATTTGAACTTGCCCAGGAGGTGAACCCTGGGGTTCAACACCAATAACAGAGACATTGCCTCTGGGCCACACCCACTAAATTAAAAAAAAAATAATAATAATAATTCTACAGCTGAACATCTATAAGCCGTTGTCCATGTCCAAGTTGACATGGGATATTTACACAAAGATTTTTTTTTTCACTTTTTATTAAATAAATGCTTTTTTACCGGAACAGTGTCTGAAACACGACTGGTTACACATTAAATCTTTCCTGCTTCGGCGCCCCGACTGTAGTTGAAATGCACAGGGGAGACTTATTGATCTGCTCCAGGGCCGAAGCTAACATTAGCTCCGGGGCTAACTCCCTTCACTTTGTGCTTGTCCGCAGCAGAGGTAAACAGAAACAGGGAACACAACAGTACATAAACAGCTCCTGTATAACCAACTCATAACAGGGCTCATATTGCACGGAACTTCCGCTACCGATCTCTCTCTCGCACCCCCGCACTCACATTCACATACAGACATACCTACCTTCTCTAGCCTAATAGAAAAGTCATTGATCGCTAGGGGTATGAACTTCGTAAGCCTGTAAAAAAATCCATAAATTAGCCGCATCATTGTTTAAGTCTTCTTACAGTCCAGAAATTACGGTACTTTGGAAAATCTGCTTCTTACATTTTAGGTCACCCTGCACCCCCATATCTGTCCAAATTGCTATACATTCTCATACCATTTTGCGTCCCTTTTTAAATCCCTCCTCTTTGGCTCATTCTCAGTTCCCCACACATCTTTCATCTTCGTTATATATATATTTTTTTCTATTGATTTTGTTTGTATTGATTTTTTTTTTCCTGTTGCTCTTATTTAACTGTATTTTTGCCTTATTGTTTTTACTCTACTGTTGTGTCCTTGGGTGTTGTGAAAGGTGCTTCTACATAATACTTATGGCCCTGCTTTGGTGCATTGACAGCTGGAGTTGGAGAAATAAGACTTAACCTGTTCACAAATGTGGCCACAAGGGACTGCCATCAGCTCCAACGCTACCTCAACCTATATTTTGAAAATTGTTCAACTGAAGAGAGAACCTGGGGAATATTTATAATTACTTGAGAGTAGAAATTTGCACGGAGGAACATTTTTTTGTACATGTTTTCAGTTGAAGGAAATTGGAATTGGCAAAAAATTAGTATAAGCACCTTTGCTAAAAGAATGGAAATATAAATCCTCCAGAAGAATCTCTTCTTACTTTTAACAAAGAAAAACAGTTAAACTGATTTTTTTTTTATAATACTAAAACATTCCTTATGGAACCATTACTTTTTTGGGGGAATTTGTATAAATCATCAATTGTGTGTTCTGGGATAGCATATAATTTCCCCTTTTTAACTGTTTTTTTTTTTTTTTTTTTTTAGAACACTTACTGAGTTGCAGTGTTGTTTATGGTTTTAAATGAAAGAAACACATTCCTGGTTTGCATGCAGTTGATTATTTGTGACTTTTGAAAAGCGGTTTGTTGTAAATATTATAATACATAATAATAATAATTCTGATTATTTACATCAACAGGGCTCGAATTACATTTACATTACTGAGTCAGGCAAAAAAAAAATTAAATAATATTTTTTACCTTTTGTTGTGGTAAACTTGGTATGATTTCGTGGGGCCAAAAAATTCGCAAAAACAAAGACATTCTAACAAACAAACATGACAGTGTATCGCTATCGCTTTACTACAATTCCCAATGCGTCATGCCCCACCGGATTACGTGCACGCTGTAATTGATACCGGTACATCTTTACAAAAAAAGACCGGTACACCCGCACCGGGCTTTCTTGGACAGCGG